GAGAGAGAGAGGAGCAATAAATGGATAATATACCAAAAAAAGGAAGATAGGGAGTCAGCACCCGGAAAAGTCAACAAAAATAAGAGGAAATGAGAGTAGAACTTATGCAAAGTGGATTTAATGATGAAATAGAATGAACTTCCAGGACCCACTAATATTTGTAACACCTTTATTTTTCTCTGAGAATTTAGATAAGGTTCAAGTTGTAGACTTGCACTGAGGGCAACAATGGTGAAGCTAAAATTTATGTTTAGCATTAAATAAGTTATATAGAAGCCAACTCTTTAAAGAATTGTCCCATGCGTTTGTTCGGTCATCAATGATCACCAAACACTAGTCTGTTATGCTTGCGTCTGTGAAGACTGACGACGCTGAAGGCTATCAATATATTTGTTACACATCAATGCTAATATCTACCAATCCTAAGTGTAAATTACGTAACTAATTTCTGCAATTTTCTTTTCTATGAAATTCCCGATACAATCATGCCTCTAGGCGACAGGCCTCTGCCTAGAGCCTAGGCAGTGCCCAGACCGCCTGGGCAAGTTGTGTATCACCTTTAAAAAAAAATAATCTTAAAAATTCACAAAAATTGAGGAGAAAAACATATATTTAAAAGTCTAAAATCAATTAATCAACAAAAGTCAATAGAAATCTAGAATCAACATAACTGAAATCAATTAACTAAAGTGAAGAAGTAGAACTGAAGTTGTAGAAAATCCTAAATGCTCGGCATTAAGGTTTTTTGCCTTCTATGGACCACTAAAACCAACCAACCAGTTTGTTCTTTATTTGTTTAAAAAAATTAAAAAACAAAACAATGTGGTTAAATTTTTTTTTTTTAAAGCCCCAAAAAAAGGGGTAGGACAGTATTGCCCTGCTGCCCAGGTCAAGGCAGGCGGCATGGGGCCTCCTAGTGCATAAGCCCTGCCAAGCAAAGCCTAGGCGGCGCCTTTTGCAACACATATTCCAGCCTATTATGAATGTGGTAGTTTTAAAATATGTTATCAACAATCAAATTATTGCTAGGTATAAAGGTTTTAGGCAGATGAATAATTTGGGATGTTGCATACAAACCTGCACGATTTCGAAAGAGAGCAAGCTTTCAGCATTCTGCCATTCCTGTGTCTCAAAGCAGCTAAAGACTGTTCATGAATAAGATGGAGACCATCATCATGCTATCCAAACCACTCATCATGTTGCAAGCTCAACAAAAGGTATAAAGGAGAGAGCTTCCTTGCTTGACTTGTTTCTCTAGAATGAGAATTCACAAGAACATTTCAATTACTTCCACACTGCACAAAAAAGGAACCAAAACAAGAAACTAATTTTCAGTTGAGCCTATTCATTAATGATTAATCTTATTCTTTGAAGAACAAAAAGGTACAAGGATCATGAATAATTAATAACTCCAGTGAAGGCTGCTTTAGCTGCATTTACTCGCATCAATGACCACATACAAAAGGAATGCAAAAGAAAAATCCATTCTATACTCTGGGTAACCCAGCTGTTACTTGACTTGCCATTAACCTATAACAAATTCAAACCATTATTTTCTTTCAAAATCAAAGCAACACAAAACATAGAAATTATATATTTTCTGTCAGCAGGTTTCTCATCAACCAAACAGGAAAGAAATATATATATACAAAACAAATTATTGTGTGTGGTTATGAGTTGTTTAGACAGAAAATACACAAACTAATTGTTATGTGTGACTGTGTGCCTTTCAGACCCACCAAAAAGGAAAAAAAAAAAAAAAAGAACCGCATGCTTGCACACAAACCCTTAAACACTAGGCATGATTATGTGTACTATAGTGAAATTTACCCCAATTAGCTGTTGTCAAATCTATCATAAACATAGCAACAACTATCATCTATCAAAATCAAAACCATAGGACACGAAACATACATTGAAATTGTATATTTCCATTAGCAGTTTTCTCATCAACCAAACAGACAAACAAACACACAGACGAATTAAATTAAATAAATCTAAATAATATGACTGAATTTAAAATAAAAAAAAAAACTAATTCATCAAACATAGAACACTCCACAGTTTTATTCAACAAACATACATATATAAATCAGCAATGGTCAACGTCTATCATCTATCTACCATCCAACCAACACATAAATGGCATATATGAAACCCGGAATGTAACCCAGAATTGTCAGCAACAGATCTATCCAGAACTCCACCTGCATCCATAACATCACCCCCAACACAAAAATTTCTCACAAATTTAACAACAAAAGTACTCCAAACGATAAATTTAAGAAAATCAAAATAATAAGATTTATTTATTTCCAATAGAACTTACTCCGCAACCATATCTCAGAAAGACACCAACAGGAGGCACCAGAATTGCCAGAATTACTTCAAGGAAAGTTTCTGAACCCATAATTTAGAAGCTGTTCTAATTTAATAAAATTGATATAAAGAGTACTGAAAGAACAGACTTGGAAGAAAACTGTACAGAAAAGTGTTTAGCTTTGGGTGCATGAAGATACGGTGTGTGGGAAGGGGACAGGTGGCATGGTGAGAGGAACTCTGAGAGTGCCACCTGAATGTGTATTTGACATGTATAAAATTCTGGCGATTTTCTAGTGTTTTCCCTTGACCAGAACCAATTTCCTAACCTGGAATCCACACTAATGGGCCTCTATACTGCCTGCCTGCCTACCTACATGGGGCTTTTGGGTTTATTTCTAGTTCATATCAAATCAATGTAAACGAGATGTAAAATTACATGAGATTAATAATAGAGAGACCATTCATAGTTTTCTTTAACACAATCAGTAAAATTCTATCATGGCCAGACCGCTTGTTCAAGTGACATTAAATACTTTTATTTTAATCACAAAACCCTACAAGACTGTGGAACATTGGCTTCAATCGGTTTGGTTGGCAGAAAAAAGGAACTAAATCAAAATGTATCACTAACAAGGTTATTAAAGAATTAAAATAGTAGCATGAAGGAGATAGAATTTCCCCCGAAGGGAAAGGGATGAAGATGACAACGACCACAGGCCATCATGGTTGATAAGGCTCAGGCAGCTGAAGGCCAACACTTGCAGCGGATTTTCCAAGTATTCTTTTCATTTCTTCTGATCTATCAACAGCTATGTTGTAAGAGAACAAGAGTTCCTGCAATAACCATCAAAACCAAAATTGTATCAGATACATAAATCAGTGGTTTCTTCCACAAGAAAAGTTTAGCTAAACAGGCATTTAATCAATAGCCTGCTATTATTATTATTCACATATTTCCTCTTACTGTAGAACTACATCACACTCCTCTACTCTAGTTAAGGCAACCCTGATAGTTGTTATTGAACTAGTTACAACTAATTCAATTCCAATTCCTCTTTCAAAACATCCAACCCATATGAACTCCGATGCATAGGCATAGCTTGGACATTATGCAAATATATTTTATTGACCACTGCAGTTCCCTCTCAACCCATGCAAGTTAAGCACTTAAGTAAAGCCAAAATCAGCCTAATGGAGAAAACTCGCACCTTGTGATTATGGATGCTGTTAAGTAGAAAAGTGTAATCACTGGCAATCTTGATCTTTTGTCTTGCTAATGAAGGGTCTGAAAGTTCATGGTTCTTCCGGAACTCTTCTGTTATGTATTCACTAAAGTGCTTCTTGTAGTCTTCCTTTCCAATGTGCTTCTTGACAGCTCTGAGAAGGTTGCGATACACCTTAGTTGCTTGCAAAACTTGAGAACTCATTTTCAATCCTTCACTCTGGATTTCACTATCTTTTTTCCCTTCTGTTGCTTCCTGCATTGGATTCAAAATATTTAGCAAGCATAACCAAAGATCTCCACAACCAAACTTCAGGTAGTCTACTTTTCTCAGATCCGATAACAAAGAATACAATATGCACTTCTACTGTCTACAAACATCCTCCTCACAATAGAGTTTTCATTTCACACTGTGCATAACAGTAGATTATTATAAAGAAATATGATACCTTGAGGGGTTACCTAATCTCTCAAACTCTGATTGTTAAAATCTTAGTTATTAACCAGTTTAACACATAGTGAAGTTATTTACCATGCAAGCTGAGACTCTAATTGTTAAATCTTAGTTAGCCAGTAATCACATGGTGACATTATCTGCCATGCATGCTGAGACTTGACTCACTCTGTGTTGTAGTATGTGTATGTCCGTGAAGTTACATTGTTAGTTCAAAATCTTAAAAAAATAAAAATCAGAATCCATGTCAGGTATAATCATACAATTCATGATGAATGAAAATAAAAACAAAAGGAATACAAAAGGAGGGGTTAAATATTAACATTTCTCCACTTGGCTCCATATAATTCCTCCATCCATAAACAAGGTCAATCCACAAACCAAGTCAATAGAACTCCTCAGTAATCAAATCAAAACAGAAAAAATTTAACAGATTGACTAACGAAAACCCCAGACAGAAATGATTGATAGCTTCAGTGTTTGATTCTTAGCCTCAAATGAAAAAGAAGAAGAAAACAGGCAATCTAAAACCGTCAAAACTGAAGAAATGAGAACACATGACCTGTATAGAGTACGGAAATAAGTGCGAGATCGCTGCGGATCTGGAGAGTTAAGATCTTGAGAAAATTGCAAACGACGAACCTAGATCCTGGCTCGAACCTGAAAGAAGTACTTCGTTCTGAGAGAGAAAGACCAAATTAGTGATGATTCGACGAAGAAAAGGAAATTACCTTACGACGAGGGAGGATATCGGCATAGCAGAGTCGCCGATCGGCGAATGAACTTCATCGACGGTTTGCAAAGAGCAGATACGTCGACGCTGAAAATAGCTTGATTTTATTTCCAGCAAATCTACGATTAATAATGTAAGAACTCAGGCCCAATGGGTTGCTTTATTGGTCAATTTGCGGGGATAGAGAGTTTGCAAAATCCATAGGAATTCGTCACTTGCGGTCAGGCCCAATGGGTAGTTTGACAGGGTTATTCTCTTGAGGCCCGTCAAATACTTCATAGCCCATGAAGCCCTTTTGATTTCCGTGGTCCAAAATTGAAGGATATAAATGTTCAATTTCATCCATAACCTTATATTGGGATTTCAATTGAGTCTAAAATCTTTTTATCATCCCAATTGAGTCCCAGACCCTTTAACAAGTTGAAAGCAAACCAAGGGATGAGAATTCGGTTTCTTAAAAGGAAGTTAGTTTCCAACCAGCTTGATATATAGTTACAGTCCCCCTATACCAATTTGACTTTGCTTTGTATTTTTAATCCCCTTCTCAAACCATTATAGCCATGGCCGCAGCTATGCACAATAGGAAAAGGATGTTTTAATAGGCAAATGGGAACAAAAACTGATAATTAAAGTTGATGGTAGTGGTCCAAAGAACCCAAAATTAACCCTCTGTTTCCTTCCTCTCACGCAGTGATCAATATTGGTTCTTAATTTATTCATCACCCCATGCCATAGCTTAGCTATCTATCTACTCATCACCCCCAGTTTCTGGAACATGATGTCTTGTATGATGTAATGTAAATGGGTATTTCAAACGCGCACGTTGCAGACAGTTGCTGAATTATTTCTTCATATTTCATTTTTTCCCTCTCCCTTGACTTTGAATTGTCTTGTTCTAGGACAGAAGGACATGCTGCTAAAGCTACAACCCGGAGAGGAGTTCATGCCCTTCCATATTAGAAGAGGGTGTTGAATAGATTAAAGACAAGGCTATACAGTTTTATATATGTGCTATCTGGCATGTTGATATTTTTGTGTATTTTTTTTGCTCATGAGTTTTGGGTAAATTAGAAAATTTTATGCTGTGGAAATGAGTTGATATTAAGAAAAATTTAAAGCTATTAACAATGTAGGTGTCTATGTATGGTTATTTTATTGTTGATATTATTGAGATTGTTTCAACGAGTCAAATTAAGAACCTAAACAAATAGGTAGCAAAGACCAAGTGTATGTGATATTTTATGACTATTTAAAAAGTCAACACAATGGAAATGCAAAACCAAAGTTCAGGATATGAAGCAGTAGCTGCATGATGTTAAGGAATATCTTCCCTTCTATCTTTCCAATATATATAGACAAGGGCATCCTGCTGTAGGCATACCTTGTTACGTCTTCAACATTTTCTGATAGTCTATATAAACGGTTGTTGATGACTGAGTTCTACATGGAGAACTGGGATTTGCAAGCAGTAGTTAGAGGGTACAGTAATGATGCCTTCATCTTTGCCTTGGAAAACCCATCATCTGTTTTTGATCCTTTGAGTATTCAACAAGAAAAGCTTTTAAATTGCCCTGAAACTTTTATAACAAACACAAGTGTTTTACATGAATTAGAGGACCTTCCTAGGCCTAACCATCCACATTTGAATCGCCTTTCAACACAGACTGTCATTACCACTTCCCTCTCTGTCCCCCATGATGTGAAAGAGCCTGAGAAGTTGGAAAGTCAGCAATCTCCTTATCAATCTACTGTTGCTGCCAAATTAAGAAAAAGGTTAGTGAGTTCATACATGTATGAACTATTAAGCTTTGAAATAGAATCCTGGGACTTTGAGTGTTTTACATTATTTCTGCAGGAAGAATCAGAATCAGCAGAATAGAGTGGTGCAACATGTAAGAGCCGATGGTCCTTCATCTGATATATGGGCCTGGCGTAAATATGGACAGAAACTTATTAGGGGATCTCCTTATCCCAGGTACATAACTGTCACCTTTTTTACTATCTTCATACTCCTCTTTTGGCTAATAGAGTATTATGTATGGTCAGATTGATGGTTCTCTCTTTGTGTCATTGATGGTTAGTCTATCTTATTTTGGTTGAACAAAAAAATAAATAAAAAAAGGAGTTATTACAAGTGCAGCAGCTCAAAAGGATGTTTGGCAAGAAAGCAAGTAGAACGTTGTTATTGGGACCCTCGGATCTTTATCATAACCTACACTGCTGAGCACAGTCATGACCAGCCAACTCACAGGAGCTCCCTAGCTGGAACCATCCGGAGCAAGCCCTCTATGGCTAAATATCCTGAAATCAGCAAACCCCGTTTGCCAACAAATTCTGTTTTTTCACTAACAACTACTTTGGTGACACCAACTGAAGAGGATCAGTTCTGGAAACAGGACAGCATAAAGAGAGCAGAGGCGAAAGTGCTTGAAGATTTGGAAGGAGAGAAGATATTTTCGCCAGATATAACATTGAATGATGAATTTGTTCAAAGCTTGGAGGATTTGGAGGGTCTTTTGTTGGGGAAATTTCCTATCTAGCAGTTAAATTGCAGGTGTCTGGTTCAAGAAACTGTGTTTTATTTTTTATTTTTTTTATTTTTTTTTTCTCTTCCATCAGTTGTTTGTCTTATAAAATGGCAGTTGTAGTTAAGCTTGTTATCTTCTGTTGAATATGTATAGCTTTGTCTATTGTTTTCACAACTGGAAACACAACCAACTCGGATCTTCTGGAAACTTTCTTAGAACAAGGATGGCCATGGCTTCACAATTGTAATTGAGAATGACAACCATCAATATGTTACAATAAAAAAGGATAAGCTTATCAAGAGACCTAAGGCTTGCTTTTGTAAGCTTGAAACTAATATCTCTTTCTTTGCTTTGCAATTTGCATATAAAATGCAAAGAAATTGTAAATTAAACTATTGTAATCCACAGATGGCCTTTATTTAAACTACTTTTTTTTTTTGGTACATTAGATGATGGGCTATACATAGGAGAGGAGATAACCCTCCACTTCCGTTAATCCCTCCTCACCGTCTTAAGATTCGAATTGAGATCTCTAACTTGGAGTCTCAAGTTCTTAACCAGTTGAGACATTCCTTTGGGGGCTTTATTTCAACAATACTGCTTGCCGTTTACTTGTAGCATATTACATAGAGTCAAACAGATGAGTAGTTTTATTGTTGTGCAGTAGAATCTGCAAAGACTTGTCTTTGCTTGCATCAAGCAAAGGAGCTACCGCACCCACAAAAGCAGCATTAAGATAAGTGATAGGTTCAGAATGAGAGTAGTCTGATCTTTCATCATTGAAATGATCGTTTGAATCAGGTCCTCCAACAATTGCTCCAACGTGTGTATTTGGGTTTGGTTTGCCAGAAGAGTAGTAGCTTGAGTAGCCATCACCACAGCTCACCTTGGCTGGATGTTCACGAATAGCAGGTATGGATGCACCTCTATGGTGTAATTGCAAAGGGTATTTGCTGCCAAATCCCACCATGTATGACATTTTCATGGGGTTGTTTCCGAGTATGTAGTCTACCTGAAAGGCTTCATGATTATTGAATTTTCTGTAATCTTTAAGGAAGAACAGGTGGAAAGTAAAGCACCTGTGATTTTGCAAAGGCTTTGATTTGAGAGTCAGAGAAATGGGCAGAGCCACATTGGACCTGACCAATATTAGTTGATTTTAAGGTCTTGGAGTAGATAAATAGCAACATGGAAGAGCTTGTAACATATTGAAGATTTGCAGCATCTCTAGTATACAAAAGCCCGCCTGCAAAACGCAAACAAAGCAAGAACTCTATCATGTGAATATTTTGTAAAAAAGTGATTCTGTTATGAACTGAAAGATCAACCTGGAGTTGTTTTAATCTGTACAGAGCTGCTCCCTGGCATTAATGCGCAAACAAATGACTCTGCATCACTCTTAAATTTAGCCAAATCCTTCTTTCCACCATGAAAATCCTGTGAAAAAGTATTTTTCCACTTGAAGAGTAGAAAAAACAATATTGTACCGTAAATGGAATTTTATGGTCATACCTTGGCCAGTAATATCTGTGCTCCAGCATATTTGTTGTCCCAACTGAATTCTGAAACTCCCTGACTCCATCCTTGGTTGCTCAAAACATAATTCAAGTACTTGTTATCTCCAGTTGCTTGGTAAAGCCAAGCTGCAGCCCATAATAATTCATCCTGGCAACCAAAATCCAGATGATATCATGAGCTCATCTATTAATATGAGTAAGCCTTCTAAATATTTTTCTAACATGGAGCTAATTTCCATTTCACCTGATAGCCTGAGAAAGAGCAGTAGAAAGGGCAAGAATCCTTGTAAGAGCCTCTATACTTGTCTGCAAATTCAAACAGCTGTAAAGGATAATGAGTTAGATAGATGCACATATAAAGAGCTTGGTTGGAAAAATGGAACTTATATCTTTTTCCCCATACTGATTCTGATTTTTCCAGCAGCCTTGCAGAATAGTGTGAATTAATTCCTTTGAAGACAATTGAAGCTGCAGAAAGAGCAGCAGCAGCCTCAGCTGCTGCCTCTGTGCCTGGTGAAGCAGAAGTGATCTTGTACAGTGTTCTAGGAGTGTCCATGTCTTCAGGCCGCTCCCAACACTGGTGATCAGCATTTCCATCTCCCACCTGAGAAATTTCACGGCAGATTTTATTAGAAAAAATATATTTATATAATTTTCGAAGGCACTAAATTTACAAATACACAAGAAACTGCCAGAAAATTAACCTGAGTGTAAAGTGTGGTGGGTGAAGTACTAGCTCGCAATAAGAAATCAGTTCCCCAACTGATTGCATTTTGGAGGTAGACAAGCTGGTTAGCCATAGAGATCTCTTGCTTGTATTCTACAGCAGCCCAACTGAGCAAGGTCACTGTGAATGCCATTGGCCAGGCAAACTTCACATTATCACCAGCATCATAGTAGCCCCCTACTAGGTTTACCTGTCAAAAACAAAACATTGACAATTTATCGTAGTCCTATGCGAATCAAAATTCTTATCCCTACTGCACTAAAAAGACATGCTGAACACGAGACACTAAAGGGGAAGGTGTGATCTTTAAAATTCTGTAAGATGCTATATGGTAAAGGAGAGGCAGCACTCTGATGTTTGCTGAAATGTAAATGGGTTTGGGTACCCCTTGTATCCAAGAAATAAATTTTTGGCTTATCAAAAAAAAAAAAAAATTCTTATCCCTAGCTACTAGATTGATAGAATCCATATACATACTTTATCAGGTTTGCCATCAGAGAGTGCAGAGTCTCCTCTCCATTTAACTCGCTGGCTAGAGGGTAACTTTCCTGAACGTTGCCCTTCTAAGAACAAGATTGCGTTGGCAAGAGCAACCTTATAGTTGTAACTAGTCCTGAAGCTTAAGCCCTTACTCTCTTCCATGGCTAGTCCAGTGTGACTGGCCAAGAAACATAACAAGAACAGACTCCAAACCACCTTACCAGACCTCATGTTTCTATGACTCGATCAATGATCTTGCACAGCTTGGTTTCAAGTCTTAGTGGTTATTTGTAGACCAGTATATCACTGAGAAAATGCTTTCTCATTGCATGTTGAACATGTTCATTGAAGTTTAGATGTCACGTCTTCCACAAGAAATTGGTAAATTTAGTAGTCTGGTACCGTTGCTTTGTGAGTTAAGAGCATACAAACAGGATCATCGACCTATTTTTGGAATTTTTGTTACCACTTTACGTAACTCAGTCATTAAATCAAAAGGATTGGAATGGAGATGGCATGAGCGGTGGTGGAGAGTACCGTTGGAAAGTCAAGATAAGTTTTGTCATGGAGATTAAAAAATCAGAAGAAGATGATACGACCCACATTCTTTTAACGTCATTTGCCATCATTAATATTCTTATCTTAATTGCCATTCCTCTTGCATTGCGTTGCATTGCATTGATTCGTCCTCCATTTTTAAGCATCCTTCAAAAATGCCCCAGCAGCCCTCTTTCAAA